TTAAGAGTAACAAAAAAAATAAAACAAATTAATTCCACTTATCTTATTCATGGCAAACCAGTAACACAGACTAAAAACGCAAAATACCTAGGTGTTATAATAAATGAAAAACTGTCATGGAATCCACATATTCATGAAACTATAAAAAAAAATCCAACAAAGCATTAGGGTATATTAAAAGAAATTTCTATAAATCAAATAAGAACATAAAACTAAAATGTTATTTAACCTTGGTTAGGCCAATAATAGAATATGCATCCTCCGTTTGGTACCCCTCAACTCAAGAAAACATTAAGAAACTGGAACAGACACAAAATAGAGCAGTGAGATTCATAACAAATGAATATTAACATTTGACTAGAGTAACACCTATAGTAAAATCACTAATTTAGAAAGCCTTCAGGACAGAAGACTCAAAAGTAAAGTAGCAATTATACATAAAACACTGAACCATAATCTTCAAATACAAAAACAAAATTTAATAAAATACTCTGAAAGACACAAAGATAAAGGCACATTCCTCGTCCCATATGCTAGGACAAATTTGTACAAATACTCCTTCTTCCAAAGTGCTATTAGAGCATGGAATGGGTTGCCTGAGCTAGCCAGGAAAACCAGTGACTTGCCAGAATTTAAGTCATTGGTTAATATGCATGACTAAATGCATGACGCGTAGGACGTAATCATCTTCTTTTTGAAGTAACGTCTGTGTTATATAAGATAAGAAGAAGATAAGATCTAGATCTAGCACTAGCCTTGATCTTTTAAATCTAGAAATTAATCATATCAATCAGTGAATTATTGTAACCTACTTTCTAATCCGTTTGATTGTCAAAAGTGCTGAGCCGAAGTCTCTTCGAACTCTAGGCTTGTAAGCCTGCCTGAACAACTGTTCTGTCTTGAAGAGATCCAAGTCATTGCCTATGTAAAGCATTGCTATTTCTGATGTATCTGGCACTCAGGGCGCATGGACTAGAATGCATGGCCGAAGGCCGAGTACCTCCGCCATGTTCCTATGTTGTACCAAGCTAACCGTGCAGGACTTGCCATTAGTGTAACGGTCCCTTGAGGAACGGCGCATGGATTATCGACGGGGACGTGGGAGCTCGCTTTCAACTCCGCTCCGTGCAATGGGACCACTCTCGCATTCCCTTGGACACTCCCACATGAGTTTTGTTTTGCTATTCATTTAGCCTAATCGCTTCCTCAAATGATCGTTTCCACCCGAGTGCCACGTTGAGGCAGAATAGCATACCCGGGACTTTCTAATCCTAAAAAATGTCTAGATCTAAACTATTTTATATTCAAGTTACAATGAAGCCATTAATGTAAACAACACTACCACGTGACATGGAAGAAATACGAAACAACCTCATTAAATAAGAAGTAAATCCTTTTGAAAAAAAAAATCAGTCAGACAAACGGACGGAGTGAGTTGATATGAGCTTTGTAAAAATTGAGAACCTTAAATTTGTATAATTTAAGGTTCCCAATTCCCAATCTAGAATTAGACATCTAAATCTATAGTTAACTCCATTAAGAAACACCAATCACATTTTGACAATATTTTTTACCACTTAAAAAAAAAAAAAAAAAAAAAAGCTAACAAGTGAGTATTTTTTAACCTCAGAAGATCTTCGTCTAAAATATATAGTAATAAAAATTACAATAATAAGGCTTGTCTTCGAGTCCGAAGATTAATGTATTGTAACTCAAACGGCAAATAACCCAAATATAAATAGTATACGTACTGAAAAGTTCATACAAAAGTCCTCGACGCTCATTGATCAACTTTCTAAACTTGTCTAGAATCATATGTGAGCCATGACAAAGCATAATTTAATATTGCTCTCCCCCTGAAGTAGACCAAGGTATGTTGAAATGGGTCAATCATATTACAAGAGTTATGCATGTAGCACCAAGAGTTACCTTTCATTTCTGGTGTCAAGGTACAGCCCCTTTATACAACTGCGGGTCCATACTCCAACTTAAAAAACTAGACCTTAGACTAGACCTGCAGATAAAGAAGAAATTGAGTCAATTACTATGGGTAGTGAGATAAATAGTTTGAGTCATGAGTCTGTTACTATGGGTAGTGAGATAAATAGTTTGAGTCATGAGTCTGTTACTATGAGATATGTGTCTATAATTATGAGTGAGTCAATTACTATGAGTTAGGAGTCAATTACTATGAGTTACGAGTCAATTACTATGAGTTAGGAGTCAATTACTATGAGTTACGAGTCAATTACTATGAGTTAGGAGTCAATTACTATGAGTTACGAGTCAATTACTATGAGTTAGGAGTCAATTACTATGAGTTAGGAGTCAATTACTATGAGTTAGGAGTCAATTACTATGAGTTAGGAGTCAATTACTATGAATTAGGAGTCAATTACTATGAATTAGGAGTCAATTACTATGAGTTAGGAGTCAATTACTATGAGTTAGGAGTCGCTTTGGTTGAGTGGTAAAGCGCTTGGCTTCCGTGCCGAGAGTCTTGGGTTTGAATGCTAGTGAAGACTGGGTTTTTTTAAATTTCGAAATCATTAGGGCGCCTCTGAGTCGACCCAGACCTAATGGGTACCAGACACTAGATGTGGAAAAATAAAGGCGGTTGTACTGGCTATAAATATATATATATATATATATATATATATATATATATATATATATATACATAGTTGCATATATGTTTAAAATTGAAATCATGGAATCCTCTAACAAGGGTAACGATAAGAGCCATTCATTTTGACAAAAACTGTGTCAGTATGACCTAATACCTCTTTATTTTGGATACTGGATACACCAAAAGCTATCTATAGTTGTGTTCTTTTTCGCCATGTATTAAAACCTCCAATAAAATATAGTTCGTTCTTATAAACGTATGTCATACCGCGATAACAATTAAAGCTGACTATACCCGTCTAGCAAAGTGATCTCAAACTATACTTTCAAAGAACGAAAGTACTTTTGGTGGCCTATAGAATTATCAGGTTCAATATAACGCGAGCGAGCTACTCTGCCTCATCGTGGCGCTCGTGTGGAAACGACCATTAGAGGAAGTGGTTAGGCTAAATGGGTAGCAACACAAGACTTCCGTGGGGATGCCCACGGGTAGACGAGAGTCCACCCATTGCACGGCGCAGAGTTATAAAAAAGTTCCCACAAACCTGTCACAAATCCATGCGCCGTTCCTCAAGGGACCGTTGCATAAATAGCGAGTCCCCCACGGTTAGCTTGGTATACCGAAAGAAAATGGCCTTCGGCCATGTCTAGCCCATGCGTTGGAGGCCAGATGCATCGGAAATAGCAATGCTTTACATAGGTATTGACTTGGGTCTCTTCCAGACAGAACTGTGTGTTCACACAGGTTTTTTTTTTACTGTTTGACGCCAAACAGGGTTTTTTTTTCAAACATAGAGCTCGAAGAGCCTTCGGCTTAGCTCTTAAGACGATCAAACGGTACAACATAATCAATGGTTGCGTACAACAACAAAACAAAACACATTATCTCCCCTGAACACCCGTGTTCAAGTCCCATGTCCCCTCCCCCCCCCCCCCCCAACAGATAAACAAAACTGACACGCAACTCTCAAACACCTTACATTCCCCCGCTCTCCTAACAGCCACATGCATTGAGGAACCTTCAGAGAGAACTGGGCAGGGGGGAAGACTCTTGGTTCACGCCTGTTGGCAAAGATAAAATTCTTCGTAGTGGTCAAATGGTTTGTGGGTCATCTTGCACTCTGATGCCTAGAAATGGAAGAGATCAAGTGTGCTCTAAGTGTGCTATCAAAGGCAAGTCTGAAACTTTCTTCCAGAGGCTTCCTTCTCTCTCACCTTCACCTTGGTCTGCTCTAACGTATGGGCACCACACAAGATCTCTATTCCTCTTTGTCTCTTTTGCCTTGGATAGAATCTCTTTTCAATGACAGGCCCTTCCATTTTTTTTTATCTCGTCCTCCCATCGCTTTCTCTGTTTGCCTCTTCTTTTTTTTTTTCTTCCTGGTACTGCTCCCTGAAAGAAAGTTTTTGCGAGCCCTGAGGACCTAGTGATATGACCATATTAATTTAGTTTGCGTTTCTTGACAGTAGTTAGTAGGTTATCGTGGGGAGTCCAATCGCTGTAATGATCCTTTTTCTAATCTCTTCCATTGTGATACGGATTTTGCATGTGATACTTAGGATCTTTCTGTAACATCTCAATTCTAATGCTAGGATCCTCCTCTATTGTAAGACAAATTTCCATACGGACAACAAAGATTATTATTATTATTATTTCTCCCTCATCCACTCACAAAAAAAAAAAAGATTGGACTGTCGAGTTAGCCATTGTCCGTAGAAGCATGAAAGACGCGATATACAAAAGTAATAATGGCGTGTAGATCAGTTGTGTTTACAGTCTGGGGATGTCTTGTGATGTATGCCTATCTGCCCTGTAGTTAGTGTTGCCTGTCTGACTTCGACAAAATTACTCTGGAGATGTCTGGGTTTTCTTGTGCGAGTGTATTTCACTGTGACTAACCATCAAGACGCAGACACACAAAAAATAACAAGGGAAGAAGCCAAGTCAAAAAAACCTTTGAAGAATTCATGAAATAGATTTAATCCAGCAAAAAGGCCACAGTCGATGTCTCTATCGATATGATACGTCCAACCCTTATGAAATCCTATCACCAACTGATTTTCTGTCTCCAAGTAGCCTCTAACCCAACTAAATCCTAGCGTCCCTAGTCGTCCATTTTGGTGCGTCTCTACATAGCCTAAAAATACTAAGTGTCTAACAGTATAAAAGCCTATGAAGAATTATTTGTACATGTTCTGGAAAGGAATGAAATGATCTATTAAATTATGTCGTAAAACTTCTCTATTTCAGACATTTCCCTTTCCTTGCAAGCTGTTCAAATCAAAGGGATTCAATCACACATACACACAAACGCCCAAACACACATAATTTTAAAGAAATGAAACCAGAATAGAAATCAATATTTTTATTATCTTTCGTTTTGAGTAAAAAAAAACAACAACATTTGTCATAACAAGAAATGAATTCATATAATCACACATGTACATCTGAAAAAGAAAATTAATAGTTAAAAAAAAGGGACAAGTTGGTAGAAAGTTGTCTTATCTTGAACTACAACAGCTAATGACGTAATCAAAAAGTAATCTCAGTGCAAAAGTTCTGACATCGAAAACAAAAATTTTAGAAAGTTCAGAATGAATATCTTGTCTTATAAATTACAGACGTTACTTCAAAAAAAAAATTAAAAAATAAGATAATTATGTCTTATGCATTTCACGTGTCAATTTAGTCACTGGTTTTCTTGTCTGATTCAGGCACACCATCCCATGCTCATACGGCACTAGGAGGGGGGGCTATCGCTCCTGCTGTTCCCCCCCCCCCACATCCGTCAGTAGTTGACATATGCTAGATAAGAAAAATAAAGTAGCGATTGTGGATTCGAACTTAGACGACGATATTTAGCTTTAACGTTGTTGTTTTTTTTGTTGAAAGAGGGGAGGTAAAGTATAAAATAAAATAGACTCTTCGCCATGTCATCTACTACGATTCCAGTACAGGATTGACCTATATATATATCGGCTACATAAACTATGACTTATTTGTCTACATAGTCACTAAATTTATCCAAATAAATTTGTCATGAAAAATAATGATTGTAAGTTAGGAATGATATTTTCATTTTATCTAAACCTCTTATATATATTAGTTTAACCCTCTACTGATCTAGGTAACCAGAGCTGTACCAATACAGTACAACACCCGAACCAATAAAAAGCCCCATATCTCAAATTGCTTGCTTAGTTAATAGTATCCTGAAACACACAATGTTCATCTTTTATTTTCTTTATTATAGCTTGCACTTGTATCAGTTCTTTATCCAGACTTTAAATGCGAATTTATTATTTAATATGAGTTATTGAATTATAAGAAAATGATCGCAATTTTTGTGTGTACATTGATATATTTATTATATAGCCTGACATTACCCGCGGCCTGCGGGTCTAAGTTTGTGTTTACTAATCTAATGAATTGGATTTAGATGTATGTCAAACTTAGCTAATGATCCTTTCAAGTTTTTTCTCTTTCGCTACGAAAATAAAATTAGGTTTGCGAAAATGGGTTTACCCGAAGCCGATACATTCATATCTATTAAAAACGAAAAGCGCGATAGCTTTGTTAAATGAATGGGATTACAAAGTAAACAATTAAACGAAATAATCTTTAGTACGCGATTCATGAATGAATATAGATCTAGGCCTATCTCAACTCGGCTTCGCAGCTTTCCTAAACGAATGTAGTCTCTTAAAAATGCTTTAGTAAACCAAATTTGAATGTTTATTTGATCAAAATATGAAATGAATGGACTAAAATTAGTATGTTCATGTGTTAATGTATAAAACTAATTGTGCGAAGAGAAGTTTTATCATCTTAGAGTTGAATTAGGGATGGGATTATAAAGTAAACAATTAAACGAATTAATTTTTAGTACGCTATTCATTACGGTATTGTCTAATGAAAGAATGTTCGCCAGGAAATCTGTAGTCACAGATATCAGGAATTAATTTATGTAAAAAAAATGCTTTTGAAACACAAAATTGAAGGTTAATTTTATTATATAATGAAATCAATGGATCTTCTTTGTATTTTCATGTGTCAAAGTAAAAAAACTATCTGCGCAAAGTGTATTTCTTAAAATTAGATCTAAATCTAAATCCTTTCGATCTTTTCTCATGTCAACATTGTTAACCATGGCCTAGATCCATAAAATACTATAGCTGTAATAGAGTCGGACAACTTTATTTTTTTTAGGGTCTTAAGTTTGTTTTAGGGCTATAATACATACACTACGGTCTAAGTTAGTACCCAAGGAATATTCCTGCCTAGTTTTATCAAGATTGGTCAAGCGGTTTTGATGTCTATAAGTAACATACATACAAACACCTCATATTCTACTTTATAATAAAGATATATACAATGTTTATAGATATCATAAAATGTATAGAAACGACTACTTAGTTAATTCAATGGCTCCATTTCGTTAAAAGTAGCGTCTCGCTAGGGCCGTCCCGATCAGTGACAATACTTGCTAAATCCCTGCTATTTTAGATAATACATTTTAACTTTGATAATTTCATTATTCAACTTTAAAATATCATATGCATGAATCAGGACTCTTATTAATGTAAGTAAATATAAGTGTTTTTAATGAAATATTGGTCTCTAAAGACTTCATGGTCTGACTATGGTCGCTGAAGACCTCATGGTCTCTAATATCTATACAAGTTTAAAAATCAGCAGTTTTCTATAATATTAAAACAGTGCTGTGCACAAGCTTTTATTTCTTTACTGCCTTTCATCGAAGTCGGCCTACTATTCTACTAGTGAACATTCAAAATAAATGCGTGATGATAAAATGTCTTTTCCCACCTTCAAACTAAATGAACCTCATTCACCAATCGTAAACCAAAAACATTTAGCCACATTACGCAATACACAAAGGCTGTCACGTGACAGTTTTGTTTCCATTGTTTTATCAATATTATCACGTGGCTAAATGTTGTTAGTTTACGATTGGTGAATGAGGTCCATTGTTGCCTTGTTACGTCTTCATATTAGATGAGACTCTTTAGACATGGAAACGACAAATCACTGTTTATAAATACTTTAATCTTTATTAACACTGAAAACACTTTCTTGTTCATATTCCTCCATTTTGTTTTCTTCCACTTTCAACACGCATTCGCACCATTTCACATTTACACTAAGATGCGCACGTAACACCCCCCCCCCCCCTGTTTGACAAGTTCGATGTACATCGAACGTCCAAAATACAAATCACCACATATCTTATCAGCCTTTCCAAGTTAAAAAATAATCTAAATTCTCTGTAACATAGGGAACCATAATGTAATGCAAACCAAAATCATACACAATGACATATTAATACCAATACAATTCTAACATTAGATTAACATATAACATTTATATTCCCCAGTTGTGACAGTAACCATCACAATACTAATTGTTATTATGAACAATTGACACATATATATCTATACATATCTCTATGGAATCATGCAGATTTAGTTTATACCACTCCCCGCCTATAATTCAATCCAAATCTATATCTGCTCACTAATCATTGTTGTGTACACCCACAATTGAACAATTCTCTGTTGAATATCTACTACACTCCGTGCCAGAATATACCAATGTACACAATAAAATAGCTTAATTCTTAACAGAATGTCAGTAGTCATGATATACTCTGCACAATCTCCCCAACCTTTAAGTACAGCGTGATAATGTATCTGCCACAACATTCTCTTTCCCTGGTATTGTCTTGATCTCAAATTTATAGTCCATCAGTTGTAATGCCCACCTAGCAATTCTATTATTACCACATTTATTTAAATTAATGAATGCCAACGGCGCATGATCAGTCCATAATTGAAATTTAGCCCCCATCAGAAAACAACGAAACAAACGGTCACGTGACAACCATGATGAAGTAAACATGAGATCGTAAATTATATAGAAGAGATAGAGCACCACGTGGCTAAATGCTGTTTGTTTACGATTGGTGAATGAGGTCCATTGACCATGTCGTAAAATCCTAATTCTAGTTTTATAATCCATGTGGGTCTAAAGGATAACCACAGTGGCATCCATAAAGGTGACGTTTAAAAAAAATGTGCATAAGTTCCTATGTTCTATAAATGTTAAGGTATAACGTTCATTTTGTTCAGTTTTATCTAATTTTGGTTTTTGCTAAGCCGTTTTCACTTTTGTTTTCTTGAAACGATTGATGCACAGCCTCAAAATTTTATAAAATGCCAGCAAAGACACAATCAGAATGGTAGATAAATATGCAATAACATCCAACAGAAGGAATTGGTGGAGCGGCATTTGTTGACCTGACGACCTCATGTAACTTCCACCATATTTCATCACGTGATCAAACCAAAAGGCAGCTTCCTTGCTGGGAATTTTGTAAAGCTCTTTGAATATTTGTGATGCTTTCTGGATGTTACTTCTATATTTAGAATCGTCTGCTACTTGCTGAATCAGCTGTGTTAATTTTTCGGGAGTTACGTCCCTTATATCTGCATATAGTCCAAATTCTTTCACAGCTATTCGTTTAGAATTATAAAATTGGTCACCATAAATAGGAAGACAAAGGATTGGAACTCCATGGTACAGTGCCTCGTACTGACCGTTTTTCCCACAGTGGGAAACAAACACTTTAGTTTTAGGATGACCCAAAAGGTCATTTTGAGGAATCCATTTCAAAGCTAAAATTTTGTTCGTTTGGTCAGAAGCCCAATCAAATTTCCAGACCACATTGAGATCTAGTTTTTTAAATGCTTCTATCATTTTAGTTTGAATCTCCTGCGGAACATATATTTCACCTCCACCAAAAGACACAACAGCTACACCCATAGCAGACTCTTCAACAAATTTCTTTATTTCTCCTGACAATGGCTTGGCCTCACTTACTGAAGATCCTCCTATAAGTTTTGTGTTAGGAAGACTAGAGCGTGGGTAATCTAGAACATGATCGGTCTCTGCAATAAATACCTCAGCCTTCAGTGCAATATCCCTGATTGACATGTACGGTTTTTCGGGGGCGTATCTCGAGACAACGTCAGCGTCGGTACTTATGTCGTAGAACATAAAAACTGCAGAAGTGACGGCTGATTTCACTCTTTCTATAAACGTTTTCTTATCACTTCCAGTTTCAGAAAACAATGGCTCTGAGGCAGGATTAAATGGAACCCTACTAAGGAAATAGTCGTGGTTGGGGCCAATCAGGCCAAATGGAATATCGAGTTTGTAGGGCAACACAAGCATATTTCTGATAAATTGAAAACTTTCGATGACTAAAAAATCTGGGTTTAAATCTTGAATTGATGGAATGAATGTGGGATCAGAAAGTATTTTTTCCACTAAATCTTTAAATACGTTTACGACAGCGAAGAGAACTTGGATACTTTGCATCTCCCTTCTCCAGAATCGTGCGATGACTTCCGATTTGTTGTAAATGTAGGCCTCCATGTCACCGTGTTGTTTCCCGTACCTCAAAATGTGGATGTTTTTGTTTCGGATGAGCCCTTTGTTGGCCAGGTAGTCTGGGACACATATGGTCACGTTGTGGCCAAGTTCCATCAAAGCTTGGGCTATGTTGGCGTGGTAGATGAGATAGCTTTTTGTCGGTGAAGGAAACATGACCACATTCTTTGCTGTACAGAATGTCAGTGACATCAGAGATGGCACTAAAAATGCCAGGGTCAAAGTGCAGCGCATTTTTAAATTTCAAATCTGTAAGTAGAAGAAAAAAAAACAGTTAAA